TCATCATCCGCTCATCCTGCCATGCCATTCCCCCATGTCACACCATGCCATGCCATTCCCCCATGTCACGCCATGCCATCCCATTCCCCCATGTCACGTCATGCCATGCCATGCCATTCCCCCATGCCATGCTATGCCATTCCCCCATGCCATGCCATACCATTCCCCGATGCCATGCGATGCCATGCCATGCGATGCCATGCCATGCCATGCCATGCCATGCCATGCCATGCCACTCCCATATGCCATGTCATGCCATTCCAACATGTCATTCCCCCATGCCGTGCCATTTCCGTGCCATGCAATACCATTTCTCATGACATGCAATGCTATTCCCTCGTGCCATGCAATACCATTTCTCATGACATGCAATGCTCTTCCCTCGTGCCATGCAATACCATTTCTCATGACATGCAATGCTATTCCCTCGTGCCATGCAATACCATTTCTCATGACATGCAATGCTATTCCCTCGTGCCATGCAATACCATTTCTCATGACATGCAATGCTATTCCCTCATGCCATGCCATTCCATATGTGCACTAGCTTGTCCATGTGCAGGATCACCATATGTGCACCAGCTTGTCCATGTGCAGGATCACCATATGTGCACCAGCTTGTCCATGTGCAGGATCACCATATGTGCACCAGCTTGTCCATGTGCAGGATCACCATATGTGCACCAGCTTGTCCATGTGCAGGATCACCATATGTGCACCAGCTTGTCCATGTGCAGGAACACCATATGTGCACCAGCTTGTCCATGTGCAGGATCACCATATGTGCACCAGCTTGTCCATGTGCAGGATCACCATATGTGCACCAGCTTGTCCATGTGCAGGATCACCATATGTGCACCAGCTTGTCCATGTGCAGGATCACCATATGTGCACCAGCTTGTCCATGTGCAGGATCACCATATGTGCACCAGCTTGTCCATGTGCAGGATCACCATATGTGCACCAATTTGTCCATGTGCAGGATCACCATATGTGCACCAGCTTGTCCATGTGCAGGATCACCATATGTGCACCAGCCTGTCCATGTGCAGGATCACCATATGTGCACCAGCTTGTCCATGTGCAGGATCACAGAGATGGAACCTCATTTCCGCGGTCTTCCATGCGATATGACCACATGCCAAAGCAAAAACAAATATTTCTCCCAAAGATTGCTGCAAGCAAAACCCGCCACCCGTGGGGCTAGATTCCACGACCACAAGGTTAAGAGCCTTGCGCTCTACCAACTGAGCTAGAGCGGCTACGAGTTTGTGATGTGCGTTACAGATGTGACCAGGCGTATCCCTCACACCTCAGCCATACCATCCCCTTCTCTGATTGTCAGGGCTAGTGAATGGCAAACAACTGATGATGAGGCTGGGGAAGAATAGCTGCTGGTAGCACAGAAAAAGAACACAGATGGAGAACAGAGACAAAGGAAGCACACACTGTGGTTCAGACACGAGGGGGAAGGGACTGCTAACAAAAGCATGTGAACGGATGAGAAAGAAGATGCAAGATCGGTTGTGAGAGCAGAAGCCTTCACAAAAGGGAGAGATTTCCGTGAGGCAGGGGTATTAAGGCGAGAATGTGATGTGAGGTATAGGCACTGGCAAGACCAGATTCGAACCTTCGGCGCATGCATAACAGCGTTTCCAACAGCCGATGTCCCTATAACGGTAATCTGTCCGTCAAGGACACTGCTTGAGTCCCATATCATGTCACCCTGCAACTAAGGGGCGGGGAGATGGAGGAGGGGATGTGGGCAAGCCAAGAGAGCAATAAAATACTTCTCGGATGGGAGAATGGCAGAAAAGCCTCCGCAGTCGTTGAAGCAGTGCGAAATGGGTCATTTAGATGGAAGGTAGTTGCTGTTGCGTACGGTTTCCGTTTATCCAACACCTGTTAGGTTCAAGACGTCGCTTATGACGATGCACGGCGATTAATGAGACAAGAAGTACTCAGCCAGTCAAGCGTGGTACGAAAAGGTCAGTCAGTCAAGCATAATACGAAAATTAAGTGAAAATGCATGCAGAAAAAGGTAGCGCGTACCTGCGAAAAGGGTAGCGCGTACCTGCGGAAAGGGAAGCGTGTACATGCTGAAAGGGTAGCGTGTACCTGCGGAAAGGGCAGCGCGCAGCTGCGGGATAGGGCCGCGCATAGCTTCGACATAGGGCAGCGCGGATCATGGCGTTAACTAGAGGCGTCACATGCATTGATTCGCGTACGGTTGGCAATTTCGTTGCCGTTTCGTTCGGTGTGAGCGTGGAAGGCGCTACGAGATGGCTGGCGGAGCTACCGACGCGAAAGCTATTCCAGTCCATCCTTTCAAGCTTAGCAAAGTCGTTTGAACTAAGAACAAAACGTCTGAGGGTAGCGGCGGAATTGATACGCGAGCGCAGTGTGGAGGCTGGGATGCGGTGCGGACACGGGAAAACGGAAAGCAACGAATATGTGCGACGGAACAAGCGACTAGCATAAGCAAACATACAATGCAGCGACGATTAGCATGCGACGCAATAAGTGTTTAGCATGCGACGCAACAGGAGATTAGCATGCGACGTAACAGGAGATTAGCATGCGTCGCAACTGAAGATTAGCATGCGACGCAACAAGAGATTAGCATGCGATGCAACAGGAGCATCGCAAAACAGGGGGGAGGGGAATGTATGTTGCGCAAGTGTTGTTCGTTACTTCCTCGTGTTGTGGGGGTTGGGAATCATGTGAGAATGTTGCTCGCATGTGGCGTGGGAGGTTTGTTATGTCAAACTTATATGCTGCATGTTGTGTAGGCTATAGTGGGGTAGCCCATATGTCAAAACAGCAGGCGAAAAGGAGGGGTTTTCACTAGCAGCAGTTGACATACATATAGGAAACCCTAATTGGGTTGTACTCGCTATAGAGTACCCCACTGCAAGCTAGACAAACATCGACATTCTGACACACCCCCATAGTCAAAGTGGGGTACAATCAATACAACAAGCAGGCAGTGCAATAGTTCACAAGGATAAGCAAAGCTAGAGGCTATCACAGAGGGCAAGTGAGGAGGAGGAGAAACTATGGAGGACGAGAAGATGAGAGGCGACAGCTGAAGCTGCAGACACACAGGCAACATGAGTGCGCAGCACTGACGCTACCAGGCTAAACCCGGGCTACACGGCGACAGGCGCATCTGGCTCACTGTGCTCCCAGGAGTGCTTACACAATGGCTACCGGGCGCAGAGCCCCGGACTACACGGCCACAGGGGGTCGTGGCTCTCTGGACTACCAGGAGTGCTCACAGTGTGGCTACCGGGCGCAGAGCCCCGGACTACACGGCCATAGGGGGTCGTGGCTCTCTGGACTTCAGGCGCTGCGGACGACAAGTCGGCTACCTCCGGTCAACCTCCCCCAACTGTCCCACACCCTTTTCACACACCCCCTGCTGAACCACTAGCACCGCTCACACGCCACCCCCCTCGTACCACTCCGACGGCTCCAACACATCCACCCCCCTCAACGGCAGCTGCAGCAGTGGGAGACGGAGGAGGAGGAGGAGCAGGGGACAGCTCACACACACGGCACCCCCATACGCAGGGCAGGGCAGGGCAGACGGTATGGGCCGCTTACGGGCCTGGCGCAGGCCGGACGAACCGCGCGCGGGCTGCCTGAGCCGCGCGCGGGCCTGGCGCAGGCCATACGGGCCGCGTGCGGGCTGTACGGGCCGCGCGCGGGCCTAGCGCAAGTCGCGCGGGCCGCTACGGGCGACGGGGGGCGACGCGCGGGTCCCCGGGGGCGCTGCGACGGGCGACGGGGGGCGACGCGCGGATCGACGGGGCAGAAAACCGCCGCGCGCCTCGGGGCGCACGGCAGACAGAGGCGCGCGGCGGGATGAAAAATACGCCATGCACCTGAGCGCCCGGGGCGCGCGGCAAGTAGAACACGTCGCGCGCCCGGGGCGCGCGGCAAGTAGAACACGTCGCGCGCCCGGGGCGCGCGATAGGCAGGACAGCAACGGAAGCATTAGGTAGCGGGCCCATCCACAGGATCGACCCAGGAGGGTCGACCTGCTATGATAGCATGTCGAAACACTAGGCAAGAATCAAAAACAGGAAAGAGAGGTTTTAACTAGCAGCAGTTGAGATACATATAGGAAACCCTAATTGGGTTGTACTCGCTATAGAGTACCCCACTGCAGGCTAGACAAACATCGACATTCTGACACCATATGGAGTACAACCCAAATTAGGGTGTGCTACTTGTACTCATGCATGCTGTTAGTTCACACATCCTTGTTCATTCTGCTGAAATGGTTTCAGAGAAGGTCCTAGCCTAGGACCGGTTTTTTTTTTAGGGCCCACCGAGCCGCGCTACCCCACGAGTCGCGCCGCCCTATTAGTGCCGCGCTGCCCTGCCCTGCCCTACGTCGCGCTGCCGCGCACGCCCTGCCCTGCCCTGCCCGCGCGCTGCTCGCCGCCATGAGCGCCGCTCACCGCCGCGCCGCGCGCCTTGCCTGCGCACTTCTCGCCGCCACGCCTCGCCGCTCTCCGCGCGCGCCGCTTGCCACCGCGCGCCCTGCTCTGCCCACGCGCCGTTCGCCGCCGCGCGCCCTGCCCTGCCTGCGCGCCGCTCGCCGCCGCGTTCCCTGCCCTGCCCGCGCGCCGCTCACCGCCGCGTGCCCTGCCCTGCCCTGCCTGCGCGCCGCTCGCCGCCGCGCGCCCTGCCCTGCCCGCGCGCCACTTGCTGCTGCACGCCCTGCCCTGCCCGCGTGCCGCTTGCCGCCGCGTGCCCCGCCTTGCCCACACGCCGCCTACCGCTGAGCGCCCTGCCCTGCCCGCGCGCCGCCCGCCGCCGCGCGCCCTGCTCTGCCATCGCGCCGCCAGCAGCCGCGCGCCCTGCCCTGCCCATGCGCTGCTAGCAGCCGCGCTGCCCTGCTTGTGAGCCGCCCTGCTGGCCGCCGCCCTGCCCTACCCTGCTTGCGTGCTGCCTTGCTGCTACCGCGCTCGCCTGATCTGCCTGCTATGGCGACTGTCAGCGTCCTCACCTTCGATCCGGAGGGCTGCCCGATAGAGTTCGATTCTTGGCTTGGTGACTTACAGCTGTACTTACTGAGCGACTATAAGGACGGTATTTCGCTGTTTGACCTCCCGTCTGGAGCCTCTCTCGCCCCTCTCGACACAGCTGACAGTGCAACTCGCTCGCAGTGGCTTACCCGTGACGCTGCTGCTCGCTTAGCCGTTTGCAATCATCTGCCGTTAGCTGAACGCACTCACTTTGGCCAGCACAAGACTGCTAAAGCCCTGTATGATGCTGTAGTCGCTCGTTACTCCTCCCCGGCCACTGCTGCTCTAGGCCGCCTTCTACTGCCCTACCTGTTCCCCGAGTTGTCCGCCTTTGCCACAGTCGCTGACTTCGTCACTCACCTTCGCACTAATGATGTCCACTACCGAGCCGCGCTTCCTGCCGAGTTCCTCACCAAGAACCCTCCTCCCTGCCGAGTCCCTCTTACATCACTCTCTACTTTATAGTCACCCACCTCCCTGACTCTCTTAGCGTTGTCAGGAACCTCCTTCTCGCCCTTGACCCCACAGCCCTCACTATCGACCTGCTTGAGAAGCACCTCCTTGCAGTTGAGACTAGCATAGTCGGTGTAGGCGCTTCTCGTGGCACTCCTCGCACTCCCTTCTTTGAGGGGTACTCGCCCTCCCCCCTTCTCCCCTTAGTCGCCTCTGCTGCAGCTGTTGACTACCTTCGTGCTGAGGAGGTAGGAGCTGCGTCTGCTCCTAGTGGGAGGCGCCGCAGTGGCAGGGGCAAGGGAGGCAGAGGCGGTGGGGGTGGCAGAGGTGGAGGCGGTGGTGGGGGCGGTGGAGGCGGTGGAGGGGGCGGCGGTGGCGGAGAGAGTGGTGGTGGGGGTGGAGGCATAGGTGGCGGCGGTGGTGGCGGCAGTGGGAGCGGAGGCGGCGGCAGTGGTGGCGGCCGGGGTGGTACCAGCCAGAGGGGAGGCCTTGGCGATGGTTAGAGGCAGCTGCAGCAGCGTCAGCGTGAGACCCCTTCGCCTCAGGAGCTACGTGAGTGGTTTGCTCAGCGTGGGGCGGCTGGGGGTGGTGGTTCTTGCCCGTATATCATTCACACAGGTGATCGCTCTGGTTTGACACGCGAGAAGCCTCACACCCAGTACCGCTGCTTCTCTCGTCTTACTGACGCCTTCTGCGCAGAATTTCCCGACGCGGCTGAGCTTCCCCGCTGGGCAGAGCTGCTTAGGCAGGGTGTGGATATCTTTGCTCTTGATTATGATGCTATCCTTGCTGCCATGTATGCATTGACTGTTAGTGCTGAGGGTGACTGTTACCTGTGTATGCCGCCAAACCCAGGTATAGAGGCTGCTGCTCTAGGTGCTAGTGAGTCTGCTGCTCTAGGTGCTGGTGAGTCCGCTCTCTCGGGTACTGCGTCTGCTGCGGCCTTGCACACCTTCACGCTTGACTCAGGTGCTTCACGCTATTTCTTTCGCAACAATACCACAGTCACACCGCTCTCTGCACCTGTTGCTGTCTCTGGCTGACCCTTCTGGGGGCCCAGTCCTTCCACGTTCCTCCACTATTCTGCCGTGTCCAGCGGTTCCGTCTGGCTCACTGTCAGGTCTCCACCTCTCCTCGTTCTCTACGAACGTGGTGAGCAACGCCGTCCTTCAGGATGCGTGGGTTGATACCTTCACCCCTGGAGGACAGCGTGTGACGATCTGTACATGCTCTTGGACTGGCAGGCACCTGGCCACGTTCACTCATCGGCCTCGGTCGAGTCTGTACACACTGAAGACTGCGCCTCCACAGGTAGCTACGTCTGCGTTTGCGTCAGGTCAGCTAGAGGCCCCCTGCTCGTGTCGCGCCCTGTCGCACGAGACGCTCGTTTGGCACCACCGCCTTGGTCACCCCTCCGTGGCACGCCTTCGTGGCATGCACTCCCATCTTCTCTCTGGTCTTTCCAAGTCTCTCTCTCCCCTCCCACCCTCGCTTGCCCCTCCCTGTCTTCCCTGTGTCCAGGGGCGGCAGCGCGCCACTCCTCACTCCTCCGAGTTTCCCCCGACGACTGCTCCCTTGCAGACTCTCCACATGGACGTGTGGGGCCCAGCCCGCGTCCGAGGACAAGGCTGCGAGTGCTACTTTCTGCTGGTTGTCGACGACTACACGCGTTCCACTACGGTCTTCCCCTTGCGCAGCAAGGGGCAGGTCCCTGATGTTTTGATCCCTTGGATCCGCGCTGTTCGTCTCCATCTCTGCGAGCGGTTCGAGACGGACCTTCCCATCCTGCGTCTGCACACTGACAGAGGTGGTGAGTTTTCGTCTAACCTCTTGCGGGAATTTTGTCGTGGGGAGGGCATTCGCCAGACGTTCACGCTCCAGGCCTCTCCACAGTAGAATGAGGTTGCTGAGCGCCGCATTGGCTTAGTTATGGAGGTCATTCGTACCTCCATGATCCATGCGGCTGCCCCCCATTTTCTATGGCCGTTTGCAGTCTAATACGCTGCACATCAGCTCAACCTCTGGCCTCGTGTCTCCTTGCCGGAGACCTCGCCGACACTGCGTTGGACGGGAGAGGTTGGCAATGCGTCAGTGTTCCGGGTCTGGGGATCTCGTGCCTTTGTCCGCGATACCACCGCGGACAAGCTCTCCTCCCGCACCATTCCCTATGTCTTCCTTGGCTTTCCCCTTGACGCGCCTGGCTGGCAATTTTACCACCCCATCTCGCACCGTGTCCTGCCCTCTCAGGACGTCACGTTTGACGAGTCAGTTTCCTTTTACGGTCTCTTCCCCTACCGCACTGCCCCTCTCCCTCCCCTGCCGCTCTTCCTCGCACCAGGTCCTCCTCCGGTAGACTCCCTCCCCCCTCAAGGTCTTGCTCCCTCAGGTGTGTCCCAGATAGACCCTGTCGGGCTTGTCGAGGTAGCTGTCGACCCTGGTGGTGCTAGGGGTGCTGCGTCTGGGGGTGCTGAGTGTGGGGGTGCTGAGCCGGAATGTGTTGAGCCTGGAGGTACTTTGAATGCTGGAGGTCCTACGGGTGTCTCGTCACGGCGGGAACCTCTCTCTCCAACTCAGCTGCGCGAGTGGTTTGCTCGGCGCTGGAGCCTCTGGAGTGGAGCTGCTGGAGCTGGAGGCACTGGAGCTGCTGGATCTAGTGGTGCTGCAGGCTTTGGAGCTGGAGCTGCTGGAGCTAGAGCTACTGGAGGTGCTGGAGCCGCTGGTCCCGGAGGTGCTGGTACTGGAGGTACTGGAGCTGCTGGAGCTGGAGGTGCTGCAGGAGCTGGAGGTGGTGGAGGTGCTGGAGCCGCTGGTCCTGAAGGTGCTCGTACTGTAGGTACTGGAGGTGCTGGAGCTGGAGGTGCTGCTGGAGCCGGTGGCACCGCAGGCGTTGGAGCTGGAGACCCTAGAGCTGGAGGTGCTGGCCCTGGGGGTGCTAGTGCTGTCGGTGCTGGTTCTTGGTCTCCCGCCTTCTACTGGCCTTACTCCTCCTTTACTGTGTCCACCGCCTGACCAGTCCTAGCCACAGTTACAGCCAGCCTCCCCACTACCGGCTCCTTCTCCCTACACTGAGCAGCCTGGAGGTCTTACAGAGCGTTGTGAGTCTGCGTATCATCCTGCGTCGCCTGTTCGCGCTGTCCGCACTGGTTGTCGTGTTCCGCGTGAGCGTCCTCCTCCTGTCCCCGGCACGTGACTCACAAACATGCGACTCACAAACATGCGACTCACAAACATTTGCCCCATATAACACACGCCCCTCTATGCGAACCACTTGTTTTAGCCTGTTCACCTTCCTGTACACTAGGCAAGGTACCAACAGCACGCCTACAAGAAATTTTGTTTTTCCTTGGATACACGGTTCTCGCTAGTCACTCGAACCCTGTATACTGTCTGGGTGGAAGCAGCATAGCAACCAGATGATACCAACTGCTTATCGCTCTCTCAATGCCTATAGTCAATCCCTTGACAGCCCACAAATGTGCCTTAGCCCGTGGATCCGCGCACCCTCTTGCGCGGTGGGCCTACACTCAGCACAATGTTAACGCCCCTACGAGTTCGCTGCCCGAACATCAATGGTATCAATACACCGTTAAACGTAATGCTCTAAAACGCTGGCTTTCCAAGACTCCTCCTCACACTGACATTCTCATTTTAGTGGACACACGCCTCTCAAAGAACCTTCCTCGACTGTCCCTCCAACTCCGACCGCACTCCTCGGTCCACGCTCCCACCCTTTACGCATTAATTTCAAAAATCCACAAGTTCCGCACCCTGGTGGAATCTGTTGAAAGAACTGAACAGGAATTGATGAACTAGGAGTGAAAACAGTACAAATACCTAACCCTAGAATTGTGTACCCCCTACAGGCTAACCCACTGTAGCCTAAACAAGCACAACAACATATATAATGTTTGACACACCCCCATAGGCGAAGTGGGGAGAACTAGGGGTCACAAGACCAGTCAAGGCAAAGCAAGGCAAAACAAGCTCAGGGTGGATCTCAAGGATACCACACAAATTCCGAGCACAAGTAAGTGGTCACAAGACCACTTCACATGCAGGTTGATAATAGAGCAAAAGGTACAATGATCACAACCTAGCAAGAGTAAACATGCAGGTATATATATATAAAGAGATCAGAGTACAAACAGGCTCAAGAAGTAAGCAAGTGAGGTCCAGTAGGCACAAGGCCTAGAAGAGTGCAAAAGCGCTGATGGTCACAAGGCTGAAGCGCCTTGGTGAACACATCAGCAGTGTTGGCCTCAGAGGCCACGTAACGCAGGCGAAGCTGACCACGCTGCTGTAGCTCTCGAGCAAGGAAGTAACGCAGAGCAATGTGCTTCGTTCTGTGCTCCAGTCTGTGCTCCTCACACAAGGCAATGGCTGCCTTGTTGTCGACGTACAGCACTGGAGGAGAACGAGGCTGCTCTCCGAGGTCGGTCAGCAAGTAGGTGAGCCAGCGTAGCTCCTGGGCCGCCATGGCTGTGGCGTAGATCTCAGCCTCACAACTGGAGTTGAGAACAGAAGAAGAGCGAGTAGAACGCCAAGAAACTGAACCAGAGCCAAGACTGAAGGAGTAACCCTGAGACGACCGCTGAGTAGCCTGGTCGTCTGCCCAAGAAGCGTCTGAGTGCCCAGTGAGAACAACTGGGACTCGCCCTCCAAGCACTAGCCCCATGCCCGACGTACTGCACAAGTAGCGCAACACCCTCTTAGCTGCATCCATGTGCTCCTTCCGGTGACGGCTGGGAGCGACATAGCGTGCAAGAATGCTGAGAGGGTATGCAAGGTCAGGTCGAGTGCAGGTCATCAGGTACATGAGGCAACCCACAAGCTCTGGATACGGGCCACTCAACTCTACGGACTCATCCGAAGGCAGAGCTGAGAGCGAGTGACCGGTAGGCAGAGGAGTGGGCTGAGGCGAGGAGTACGTGAAGCCGAAGCGCTGAAGGACCTGCTGCACCATGTGTGACTGAGTCAAGGTGATGGTGCGGCGTGCTCTGTCCCGGGTGATCCGCAAGCCAAGATAGCTTGTCAGTTCACCCAAGTCTGTGCACGTGTGTCACTTCTGAAGCTCCGACTTCACGTGGGCGAGTGCCACAGTGTCAGCAGTAGCAAAGACCAAGTCGTCGACGTACACAAGGACGTAGAACGGCGGCAGTGAGGTGTCGGTGCGTAGAAACAACGACGGGCCAGCAGAAGAAGGCGCGAACCCAAGAGCCGCAAGTGTAGTCCTCAGTGTGTCGTGCCACTCACGAGGTGCCTGGCGGAGACCGTAGACTGGCCGTCGGAGGCTCCACTGGGTACCAGGAGGGAACGACCCAGTGAAGCCAGGTGGACGGCGCAGCCAGATCTCCTCGTGTAGGCCGCCCTGTAGGAAAGCTGTGCTGAAGTCAAGCGAGTGGAGCTCGTAGTCACGCTGAGCGGCGACGTGCAGCAGAACCCAAAGAGTGGTCATCTTTGGGGTGGGGGAGAAGGTCTGGAAGAAGTCAACTCCCTCTCGCTGACTGAAGCCTCGTGCAACGTAACGTGCCTTGAAGACAGGCGGAGAGCCCGGCGGCCGCTTCACCCTGAAAATCCACATGCCACTGACGATGTTCGCCCCAGGTGGGGGAACCTCGTCGACGTAGGTGCCTGTGGACTTCCAGGAAGCCATCTCTGTGTCCATGGCCGACTGCCACTGAGAGGAGTAGGGACCGGCCATCGCCTCTGCGTAAGAGCGTGGGGTCGGGATGTCTGGTGCATCCGGGTCTCCCTCAGGGGCAACAAGCATGGACACGAGATGGGGCAAAGCGGCAGCAAAGCACTCAAACTCCTCCTGCCTGTCCTCAAGGACGTCAGTGCCAAGAGCACACTCACCCCCGACGGACGGAGGACAGACAGACTCAGACTCAGCAACCAGGCTAGCAGCGTAGTCTAGACGACAGGTGGCAGCAAAGTCGACAAGCTCAGCAACTAAGGCAGACGCAGCAGCAGGCTCAAAGGAAGGGTCAGTGACAACAGTAGCCTGGAGACGCGTGACAGTAGGACTGGCAGCACGAAGAGAGTCTGACCCAGGGTCAGCAAGAGCAGGGAGAGAAGAAGCAGGAGGAGACGGCTGTGGGACACGCTGTGGAGCAGTGGACGGACGAAGCGCCATCCGGTGAGTGCCTGGGACAGCAGGAAGACGCTGACGCTGGACACGACTACAAGTGAGAGCAGTACGGACAGGCGACGCAGGACGAGACTCTGGCGACGCAGGACGAGACTAGGCTCACGACGCTCAGTAAGACCTCCAGTCGGACCAGTGTAAGGAGCAGGACCAGGGAGAGAGGAGGCAGACGGTAACTGCGACTGCAGCTGGACAGACGGAGGACACGCGAAGGAGGGAGGAGGACAAGGAGGTGGGAGCTGGCCAAGAACCTGCTAAAGGAGCGGAACGAAGTACGGCCGTGACCGTGCAGCGACACCAGAACCAGCAGGGACACCCGCACCAGGGTCCGCAGCACCAGCAGCAGCTCCAACACCTGGGTCCGCAGCTCCAGTAGCAGCTCCAATACCGGGGTCCTCAGCACCAGCAGAAGCGCCAACGCTCGGGTCCGCAGCACCAGCAGCAGCTCCACCGCCTGGGTCCGTAGCACCAGCAGCAGCTCCAACACCTGGGTCCTCAGCACCAGCAGCAACTCCAACACCCGGGTTCGCAGCACCAGCAGCAGCTCCAACACCCGGGTCCTCAGCACCAGCAGCAGCTCCAACGTCCGGGTCCGCACCACCAGCAGCAGCGCCCACGGCAGCGGGGTGCGCAACACGAGGCACGCCACTCCGAAGAGTGCAGCGCCGCTCGTACCACTCACGGATCCGCTCACGGGAGGGGAGCTCCCGACTGGGAGGAGAAGCACTAGCACCAGTCCCAGCAGCAT